AGTAAAAAGAAATCGAATACATAACAACAAATATAATACATAAATGGATACACAAATGCGTGAACAAACAAACACAAAACAAAAACAACAACTATATGAGCTAGAATCACAAGTAAATAAATAAACAATTACATTAATATAACCAACTAATGGAGAATGTATTGCACCACCCAAGAAACCTTATAATGATTCCCATGGCTTCAAAGTGAAGGATTGCGGCCATCAGCGTTTACCCTTTTGGGACCTTGAGTGCATGGGAAAACCAGTTGGGATGGCGATTCGCTTAAGCTGAGTTGACTCAAGGGAAAGCTCAAAGCGGCATCCTTAGAACCAAATCCCAGCTGCAGGGGTAAATAGGTGGGGCTCTCCATTTCATGTAGGCGAATGTCTTTCTTTAGGGGACCCCCACAATGGTTGTGGTCCTTCTAATTTTCCTTTAACACTCACCCAAAAACGCATTCCAACTCAAGAAAAAGGACGAGCCATATCTCAAGCCAGGGTTTCCATTTTCAAACTTCCTCCCCCTCCAAAGCCACAAGCCACTAAAGGACAACCCACCGTTTTGGGTCCCGGTCCCCAGCCCCATGGTCTCCATCCAACCACCATCGCCATCTCCCTCGCGGCCCACTCGGTTCCGCTCTCCGAGAAACGTTTGAAGCTCCACGCGGCTCTTCCCGTGCTCGTCCACCGAGTCGGTGAGCGCCAGCGGCAGGGAACGCACCCAGGCCGCCAGGCCCCGCCAGTCCTGCGGAGGCGTTCGGCTTGCGCTTCCCTCCGTGTTTGGGTGGCTTGGAGGCGGGTGGTTTGGTGAAAGCGGGCGGTAGTTCCGAATGGCGGCCATGAACAAAATATGTTTCCCTCGTTTTGGGTGGAAACAAACAGGAGTGCGCAGCAAAATCAAGCGTCCGGAAGCTCTGGTTCATCTTTGGTCTGCCAGTGTCTATCACAAAACATGTGAGCCACAATCAAAACCCGGTACTACAATGGTGAACAAAGAACCATGTACAGAATTAAGAAGGCGGACATCCGCAGCTATTTATGGCTGGGATTGGCCCTTACTAACCTTCATCTACCCGGGTTTTGAGCACGTGGCGCATGTGAATCGGTAAAGCTCCTCTCCCCTTGGCAACCACAACTCAGCTTCCCTCTTGGTGGCTTGGAGCCGGGTGCTGTGGTGGTGTTCCGGGGTGGTGTCCTTCCCACCAACTAAGGGTGGTCTGAAAAGGGGGGTAGGCAGAAAAGTGACACATCCTGATTCTGGTTCATCTTTGCCCCAGATATGAAATAGCGTTGGAAAGGATCCGAGACTCGAATCAGCCATTCTGCAAACCCAAAATCAGCCCAGAGGGCAATGGCTCGAGCCATCGCAGCCCAAACAATCGTGACGAACGACCAAATGGGCGAAGGACCAACCCTTGAGAGTTGCAACTCGCAACCTTCCCATACATATCTCGCTCAGATTGGGTGGCCGTTTTGCCGCCGGTTGAAATATGGTGACACAATCCTCGGGTGTGACTTTGGTTTTTCAAGCTGCTGTTTTTTTCAAACTGTCTTTGTTTTTCAAGGGAAGGCCTGCTTGATTAAGCCAATCTTGCAAACAAATTGACTGTCCTAAAGGTGTGAATTCTACCTACTATCAGAACAAGACTTGGCCCACATTTGTGGTACGCAGGAAGTTATTATGTTTGCCTATGTTTCATGTGTAGTCAACCCTAGGATGTGACATAGTTCTGCCAAACACAAACAACACATGTTTCGCCAAACTGTGCACGTGGGTTGCAATTGGGGTTCAAGTGACTCTCATTGTGAGCAATTATCCTTTCTGCGATGCCAAAGTGGGATTCCCATCCCTATCGTCAATTCTACAGGAGATTTGCCACACCCAGAAGTGTGTTGAACTCTTATGAAGCATTTTTGGCATCCATCTCCTTCTTAAACCCTTGGAATCGTCCCTTTAGGGCTCTGGGAAAATTGCATGACGACCCTGCTCAAGCAAAGGACAGTCCGTTTGTCCCCGCCCACACATCACCTCTTGGAGATAAGAGCAACACACCCCTATACTCAAGTAGACAGTTTGTGTGCCCCTTCGATACGTGCCCCACACATATGCCCGCACAAACACCATATATTGCTAGGTTGGCACCCCGAGTCACAAGGAAATACATGTGTTTCTGAACATCGGGCCTCCTCCAGGCATATGGTTTTGTCCTTTTCAAACCATAACCCTTTATTTGAGACAGAAACAGCTCTCTGTGTGTGTGTTTTAACAAGGGTACCAATTCTTGGTTTGCAATAGAAACCCAAAGTGGGAACCGCCATTGTCTTGGGCTCAAGTCCCTTTGACACATGCCCGCGACGTGGTTGGGGCAGCGGTGATTGACGGTCCGCTCCTGGTGCGCCACAAGAAAGTCCAGCCAGCAGTGCTGCCACCTCGAGGAATCCGACCGATGTGCTATCACACAGAAAGACTCGGTTGCCACTGAGGACCCGCAAATAAAAGTGCATCACCTTTTTGCGGCCATGACGATTCACACGTTGGGGCCATGAGTATTCAACATGGGCCAAAAAGAGAAAGCTCCCTCCAAAAAACGGGCAAAAGGAAACCTAAACCCAAAAAGGGGACACCGCCCAAAGCGGGGCACAGACCCACTTCCGCTCCATTTTTTTTTTCTCATGCACCCGCGCCAGGTCGTCGGCTTGTCTCTGCTGCCGAGGGACGCCTTGGCCGGGTCTTTTCCATCGGGCTGCAGCCAGCTGAGCGGCTCCACCAGCCGCGGCCAGAAGTGGGTCTTCTCCATGACGATACGCGCGCGGGTCTCCCAGCTCCTTGGCGAGGGAAAAGTGGGTGGCCACCGAAGATGGTGACCCCGTAAAACAAAAAAAAAGTGGTTGTTGTTGTTGGTTTTTTAGGGGTCCTGTGCCTGGGGAAAAAGTGGGGAGTCGTAGATTTTTTTTGGGGGGAGTGTCCCTGATAAAGAAGGAGCTTCTATAGGGGAGTGTCAACGTGGGTTAAAACATATATCAGATCACTTTTGGAGGGGGACACCCCCCTGTTAATAAACTGGGGTTGGTTGATATGGGGTCAACATTATGTGCTCGGAGAAGCTGGTCGCTTGTGCCAGAGAGGGAGGGGATTGAGATAGACATGGAGGTGAGGGGAAGCATACCAGCAGATCAGTAAAGACGCCGGGCAGTTAGTTGCAGCAACTTGTTTGCTTTCCGGGCTGCAGCGAGACATGTATGTTGAATGTGCAGGCGAAACACGAGTTTCCGAAATAGAGTAAGCCCAAAATGAAGACTTTGACATGATCACACTTTGAATGTGCACAAGCGTACGGCCCCTTCTGGACCCCGACCCTTGAGCAAAAACGTGACACGAAAGAAGGTCGCCTTAGACGGATCTTAAAAGGGGCCGTTTCGTCGAAACAATTCGCCCTCGCGCACAACTTGACAACCCACCCGATTTACTTCTCAGAGTGATAAGTCTCTTCGAAGAGCCGTTTTGAAGGCGGTACAGCATAACGTGAAGGTTTTCGCACAGGGGCCCTGATGCCTGGCAACCACTGAAATGATTGAAGACCCCCTTGTACACTTAATTGTTTACTTCACTGTTTTCATCTCTGGGCTGTGCTCGGATCCCTTGCTTAAAGTTTAACTTTTCGTGGTTCAGTGGAAACTACCTACCACTGGACCATTAAACCCAGAAAACCTAAAAAGCCTAAGGGGATAACCGACACGCTCGAACACACACCTCACAGACTTAGAATAGGAGCTAAGCAGCGGCAAGTACTCGGCTAGAGTCTTCCAATGCATGTATTATCGTCGTGACACTTGTACACCAATATGTATCCGCAAGCGTTTATACATATATATATATACATATATATATGTACGCATGTCAGGCATATCTATATACACACATGTACGCATACATATGCCAAATGTGCATGTATAATACACCTATATATATATATATTGTGAATATAGGTACGATAAACATTGTACTTGCCACATGCAACCGGCATGTGGCGCTCGGTCGGAGGGCCCAAGGCTTACCCAGATGTTCTCTTCCTTTAACGGCCATACAGGTCGACCCTTCTTGGGTGTGAACTTGTGCTAATTGAGCACTCTGAAGCTTGCTTGGGCAGCCCCCCCCCTGCCCCCCGCCCCGGCAAAGAAAAAATAATGAGTGTCCTCAGTCCTTCAAATGTCCGGCTCAGCCATCCAACAAATGGTACCCTCACTCAGATGCCTAGTGGCCATGGGGAAAAAGGGCATTCTGTTTTGGTTGGTTGACCCTTCCCAAGAAAAAGGAAAAAAGGGCAGCACTGGGCAACTGGGCTCAATAAACCAATCCGCACTAGTCCAACCGGGAAAAAAACGCGACGCCGGTTCTTCCCATGTTGGCTAAGCTGCAATTGGCGCATCCAGCCCAAGGTGACGTGGAGGTAGCCCATGGTGTGGCCTCACGAGCGCGGAGAATGGGCAAATTGTTTCTTTTCAAAGAGGACCATATGGGTGTGGCTCAAAATTAAACAGCTACGGTTGCGCATGGGTTTGGTCGTGGTTTCGACATACAAGGTGCCATTTTGGGTACAACTGTTTGAGCCACAGTCATATATAGGTAAATTCCTGAAAACTTCCCCATTGCGAACCAGGCGTCCCTATGCAGAAGTCGTAAATGTTCCTCTTCCAGAACCCTCTTGACTAGCATAGCTGAATGCTTTAAGGACATAACGACTGGTATTGAAGTGGTAAGGAGACTCAAAATGAGGAAGTGGACCCCCGAACGGGGCCCGGTTTTCTTTAATGCAAAAGACATAACCACTACCCAAAGGAAGGCGGTCTCCAACAAACAAGGAATCACGTCCGGTCACGTCACTCTCAACACGATGGCGTCCGTCTTTGCCTTGAATGAATCACTTCGACAACATGCCGATGTGTTTGTTGCCAATGTCAAGAATTCGGCTATCACTTTCAGGTCGCCAAGATTTTGGAAATCGATTCAGAGGTGGCAAGCAATTGATGGAAAGATCTCTCATGAGAATGAGGGATTGATGTGGTTCGCTCTCGACCGCATATTGAATCTTCAATCTTGAAATCGACGACTGTCGACTGCAGTGAACGTCGAAGAGACGTCGTCTGGGTTGACTGAGGATGAGCAGGAGACCATCAAGGCGACGGATCTCCAAGCGGCTTGCCATCCACAAGGCTGTGGGTCAAAACCAATGGGATCCCATTTTGGGGTTTTCCGTGCACCACCCATTTTAGGCTTTATTTTAGTGGTTGGATTGGGTCCCGTTCCCCTGGGGGCTAACCGATTTGGATTTTGACCCATGGCCAACAAGCTTCCCTGGCGACCCGCTAGCGGATCCGAGTTGAAGCGGATGGCCGCGAAAGCGACTCGGAGTTCCTTGTCAGGGACCGTCCATGGGGCAATTGGAGACGTGGGAATCTTATTCTCACGGATGAACGATCTGGGCTGTTCAAAATGGTTTGGGTTGGCCAATCCGATTTTCCATAATCCCTACAGGAAAGCCACTACCAAGGCGACCGGTTCCTTGCGTATCCCCAGGATTAAGGAGTACCTTTGAACAGCCCAGACAATTCTGCAACAAGTCAAGGAAATCCAACGAAAGCAGGTCCAGCTGTGACAGCTTAGGCGAAGCCGCGGTGTGGAACTTTCATCTCCTCATCTGCCTAGGAAATGTTCCCGTCCCGGGGCAAAGCAACGTAGAAGGCGAGTAGCTTCGGAACATGCTCGTCCAATGCAGAAATTGCATCGACACGACCGAAGCGGTGCACGTTTGGATTTCCCTCGACGGAGTTGAGTGGAAAGAGCGGGTCGGACTACACCAGGAAATGAGAAGGAATAGTTCGCCAGGTTAGCTGCTCTCGAAGCAAGAAACATGGAACCTGAAAGGGCCCCCTGAAAGACTACTTGCTCTTGCAGGAGCCCTTTTTGAGACTCCATGCTTGTTTTGGGCAGGAGAAAACACGCGGGTTCTTTCTGTTGAGGGGGGGGGACCCCTTCTGGTTGGTTTTGAAGGAGGGCCAACAGGGAAACTGTCCACTTTGGGAGCACCCATCATGTGGATTCCCGTGAAATCTAACCCTTTTCTATACCAAAGCGTGCACTCCCTGCAACTCCCTTGCCATGTTGAATCGGATTCGCGTGGTATCAAAACCCAAGCTTTCCGCCATGGAGAAAAAACAAAAGGGTGGGGGAACCACCACACACGATGGTTTTCCTTTTGGTGTCCCTTCAAAAACCGACCCAACAAATCAGGCAACTCGTAAAACACAGAAACAGCACACAACTAGCAACTCACATATCTATATATATATATGTAAAAACAAACAATCCGGCAACTTGTTCTTCTTTTCTTTAAAGAGACCAAAAGCAAAACAAAAAACCATCCGGCAACTCATATTGAACCAAACAAAAAAACTGGAAACTCAAAAACAGAACAGAAAACACACGCACACCAAAAAAACCCAAGCCCCGAAAAACTGAAGGCCCGCTCTCGACTCTCGGCCGCCCGGGCTTTTGGGTCCGCCTTCATCCAGTCCCAGCGACTGGAGCACGCCCAGTGGGCCAGCGGGAGAGAGACCCGGGGGGTCGCCGCGTTTTTTGGGCGGTCCCCCCACAATGGCCCGAGGTGTTAGGTTTTTTGCTTTCTTCGTGTTCCAACTTTAAAAAAAAACACAACAAAAGAGGGTGGCAGCTTCAAAAAGACCGTTTCCAAGTTTAAAAAAAGTCAGAAAGGAGGGCAGCGTCCAGAGTTAAGGCCCAAAAGCAAGGTGATGTGTAGGATTTCCCTGGCCGGTTTCTTAGACCCTTGATTTACCCCATCCCGATCTGGGAAGCCTAGAACCAGGCTGAAAGACGGGTTCGTGGACGTTGCAAGCCGGAGGAAGGCCGAGCGCCGCCCAAAGATCCATTGGCCTTCCACCTCCATTGGCCTGAAACTTGTTGGCCGTGGCTCAAAAAACCGGAATTCCCAAATGGGAAGCCCTGGGAAGTGGGAACATGGGTTACCCAAAACCTGCGGTTTGCCCCTCCTGCTTAATTTTGAGCCACACCCATATGGGTCAAAAGCCCAAAGCCAAATCGTACCCCCAGTGAGCGGGACCGATTCAATCCAACCACTATTCTCGGTTCTATTTTGGGTGGTGAATTCCCCGGACCCCCCAAATGGGATCCCGTTTAACGGTTTTGACCAACAAAGGGCCATCAAGTTTTCTGGAGCCTTCGATTGCGATCCTCCGATCTTTGGCTTAAAGACCCCACCCCGAAGCATTAGACACCAACATGTCAAAACCAGGTTCTTTGAAGGCCCATCAATTGAATTGGAGCCTCTGGGGAGGAGGGTGTCACTTCAGGTCCCAACGAAAAATCCTCTAAGGCCAAGCCCCGAAAACGCCGCTGCTGTAGGTTTGGATGGGACAATTGAGGGGCCACTGCCAGACTCCTGGTGCTTGGAGTGCGCAAGTTATGCTGGTTGAGACAAACAACACGAGCACAGTATGGAGAAAGATTGCAATACGGAGAAAGACAAAACCCGATAATGTAGCTAGACACTGTTCCGCACAGCACTTCGGATACTACGGTGTGCTTCATATCGTTCTCCATCAGCAAATCCCACATTCCTGACTCCTGACGCTAGGGGTGTCGAGTTGGGTTGCTCTACTAGTGGTCTGCAGAATAGCTTTGGTTGTCTTGAGCTCACTTCCCCCCAACCCCGTCATGCCTGTGTGGGAGTATCATGGGCATTCTTTTTTGAGGGACCCCCCCCCCCAAAAAGGCTGGTTTTCCTTTTCATTTCCTTTAACACCAGCCAAAAAGGGAGGGACGTACCTCTAAAGACGCACCCAGTTGGAGCCCATTTGGAGGATACGGCATTTGGCCCGGGCTGTCCTCCAGGAAACCGTCGGGCAGGTTTGGATGTGCCTCAGACTCCAAGTGATAGGGCAAGTTCCTGAATTCCAATAGCGGTTGTAACATGTGCCAAAAGCTTGAGGCCCCCCTCCACGGCCAAAAGTGTAACAGGGATCCTTACGTCCCTGACAATCCAATGTATGCATATATCGCCTACATTGGCCGACGCCAGCGTTTTTCAACTACATTGACCGATAAACCTGAATGTAGCCAATTTTTGGGGACATTCAAACCGACAACTTCCGACAAGGGTTCCGACAAGCCTTCCGACAACAAGCTCGCCTCAATTTCGACGACTCTATCCGACGACGCCCTCCAACCACCCTTTTCCAATGCCTTTCCGACCGCTAACTTAACTCACAATGCAGGAAAATACAAAGGCGCGCCGTAAATTGATGTACGGACAAAACTTAAACTGCGAATGACTGGCAACAGCTACAGGGCACAAACAGGGCACAAAATGACTCGAGCCAACCCCGGCTATCATTGTCAGTAAATGTTGGTTGCCTGGCACGCAAAAGAAGGAATCCACTAGCATAGTGTAGCAGATCGCGCTGAGGGCTTCCGATTGTAACGTTAACCTTTTTGATGGGCTGGCTTGCTTGACGAAACAGTGTGACGACGAAGCACGTGTGCGATAGTTCAAACTTTTCAGGCCACGCCATGAAGCACATTTGCAGCGCAGGATCACACTAAGGCAACGCCGGTTAGCAAAGATCACTCAACAAACATAATTATTGCGCATGGAGGACAACAACTCCTTGCAGAACACCTCGCAGCAGGAGATCCCGCCAGTCACTCTCAACAAAACCTTTCCAAACGCTCATGGGGGTTGATGCCCCTCAAACTAAACGATGAAGCAGAATGATGCTACATCGTTGTTGTCCACAGGAACCCAATTTCGTCAACTTGCCCGTGTGTAGCTTAAATGCGTGTTGCTTCCTGATTGCTTGCAAGCTGCAACCTCTGCCTTTGCGAGCTTAGTTGCTATTATGTTTGATGCGTGCCTACGCAGGGGCGATGGGTCATCATGACAAGCTTGTTCGCGGGCCATAAACCGTCAACCGAAGGTAAGGGGTCTAATTTCCAACGATCACATCTCCAACCAAATGCTTGCTTAACACCATGCCGCAACCCAGTCCAGAGCGCAGGCCCAACTTAAAAAGCCCTGGTTGTTCAAAGCAGGTGTTTCATTTCTTTCCAGGAGGCTCACTTTAAACGCATGCTAGCCTGCTAGCAGTTCCCAATCACCATTCGAGCGGCAACTGCTTGCCAAGCGAAATTTCACTGGTCAGATAGTGATTAAGGCTCTAAACCTGCCATGCCCCCATGCCGCAATGCACAATTCACAGACTTAACAAAAAACAAATTGCTGTACTTAACAAACGTGGATGTCAAACGAGATGTGCTGGGAAGGGCTCAAGCGGCGGTCTTGAGGAGAATGATTGAGACTGGACGCACATGACGCAGTCCAAGCCCCATATGTTGCTTTGCAAGGACTCGGTTTATCGATAAGACCCAACTATAAAGGACACACGTAACATGTTTGTCTATTGCTCTCCTTGACGAAACATGTCCTTGTCAGCTTTTGCGAATGTTTTGGGCTCAGTGCTTTGCCCTCATTGGGCATACGCGCTAGTAAGCCATTTGTTTGACAAGCGTTTCTCTGCTGTTTCTAGGCCAGCTTGCCAGCTGACGCCAACAATCAAGCCACATCACTCCAACTCACGGCGCCAACAAAAATCGAGCCTCGTCCGACGTGTCATCGCGCGAAATCACGCGTTGCTTCTCGTAAAACGCGCGGACAACACACGAACACAGTCCGGCAAAAATTCACGCTCTTTCACGCTATTTCATGGTTTTCCGTTAACGTAAGCAAAAATATGAAGACAATCCGACAACTTTTCACGCCAAATCACGCCAAATCACGGTTTTCAGTTTGCACAAGCAAAGGACAGGAACACAATCCGAGAAGAAGTCACGCAAAAACAAACGAAACTTGCTGGGCCGTTTGCTCCAAATCGCTAAGAACATGGTAGGGACATACTTTGGTCAGCCAGGGGGAATAAACGGACCTTTGCTGAACTGCTTTTGGGGAGCCACATAGCAAAAATAGGTACTTGTTGGGCCTTTAGTAGACATTCGAACTTCATTGAAGAGTCCTCTGCTGACGGGGAAGTTCATTCTTGCGCGGCAAGCTTTGAATAGGCAAGACTGAGCTTTTTGCATGGTTGATGCGAGCCCAGAGCTGATGCGAGTAGACAATCCGGATGCTGAGTCTCCAGCATGCCAATCAATACTCAAGAGCTCTGAAGACATGCATGCTAAGCTTGGTGGCTCCTTATCCGAGTTTACATAGCACTTAGCATTGGCAACCTAATAATTGACATACATGTCGCGCGTGCAGCACCATATATCCCATGCTCAAGCGGCAAAACGCCAGGTCTGCCCAATCGCAATGCAGTCATTGTAAACCTACAAATAAGAACACTGCTTTATGTTCTGAGCTTAGATATTCATTATGTTGAGCTGCATGTGTACCTAAAGTCTTGTACATGTGTATACACAATAAATTTGCACATACATAAGATATGTATGTCTATGTTTTGTTTAGCGGAATTAAAAACAACGCTTTTTGGTAAGGTAAAACTGGAGTTTCTTGTTGGTACGCTTGGACATCTTGCTGCGTAGATTGAGCACACTTGAATGGCCAACAGTTACTGGGCGGCAGTTGGGAGTCGACTCGGTAGGCCAATTTGGTTCGGTGCTCCTGATATCTCAAACATTCGGCACAGCCAGAAAAATGTCCATACTATAATTGCGTGTAGGCTGTAGTGTTGTAACATAAATCCCTTACAGTTGATAGATGGCTGTGCTTTCCAATGCGGCTCAAGGTCGGCAAGTCCATGTTGAATTTGTAGGGTTTTCATTTCAAATACGCATAACTCGAGATCAAAGCACGTTTACATGCGCAATAGAGCTCGAGGGTGGCTTTGCGTTGCACGTCCGACCCCATGTTGGTTGGCAGCGATAGTGCCAGTGGTCGAACAGTTTGCGTACTCAATACTTAGAGCGGCTTTCTCATAAGAGTGCACCAACGCTGCACACACACACACAGTCCCATAAGAACTGCCCATATGCACGAACAGAATCAATCTCGCAATTGTGGATTTCGTAGCCTGCTCATCCGGAAAACAACACTTGCAAGAGTCGGATGGCAAGCTCTCAACCATCGCTAGCTACAAACATCATCAAATGTCCATGTCAATAGCGTGGTGTTTACACTTGCTGAAGCAAGTGCAAATTAATGAAAGCGAAGTTGCTACACAACAGTGCTTTGGCAAATAGAGCAAGTTAGCAAGCAGGATCATTGGGCCCCTGAAAAAACAAATATGCTCAATAAACTCCGCCACACTCGGGTTCAAATTTGATTATCGGACACGAGCTTCGTCAAATCTCCTCAATTTTCAGGCAATATTTCGACATTCGACGGGGATTCGGCGAATGTATCATTTTTTGGCTATATTTCGACAATCCGACAGGGATCCGACGAATGTTGTCGTTTTTTTGCTACATTGCCAATGTACCCCAAAAATGGCTACATTGCAATGTACGCCATATTTGCCTACATGGATTCTCAGGGTACATTATACACCTGAAAATTGCAACTTGTAAATGGTGGTGTCCCTTTATTTCGGTGTTGAAAAAGCAACATGTTTCAACTGGTTGCAACATGTAGATCTTTTAAGGAGCCCAGTGTAACTTCTGGGAATGGGTTGCCTCCCACGAACAAAAAGCATCTAAAGGCCTCAGGATCCGGATGCCGAACGTGGCGAGCGAGAGTTTGGGTGTGGCTCAAAATTCAACCGGAGGGGCAAACCGCAGGTTTTCCATGTTTCCACTTACCAGGGGTCCATGTTGGGTACATATTTTTGACCCACAGCCATTTGTGTACGTTTCCCCATTTGGAGAACGTAAAGCTGGCTACGGAAAACAAGCCCAAGCTCCAAAAAGGAGCCCAGGAACCTTTTACCGCATGCTCAAAAGAAGAGCTGCCGAAAGCACAAGGCGGGCCTTCGAAACCGGGCTAAAACGCCTGGAAAGGGTTGCTATGGCGAACCAGGACGACAGAACGCGGGATTCGATGGAACTCTATAGCGGAGAAGTGATGTTCTCTTGTGGCTGCAACGACCCTTCTGCAAAAAGTGAAAAACTGTTTGTGGGTTCAATGGGCAACCCAAAAGATTTTACGCAAAATGCTAAAATCTAAAATATGAAGATCCAACCCAATGGCAACCAAATTCGAACCTGTGATTGTGGTTTGGGTTTCATTCAGTTTAACACCCTCCGAACGATTCTGTTTGTTTGTGTGTATACTTGCAGGTTCCCGTAAACCATCCAAAATGGAGCGAACTTGACACGGCCTTCTGCTCTTTCAGTTTTGGTCACAGCTTGCTTCGCTGTTGCTCCACAGGACACCCACCGCAGAAGTACTTCCGTCGGCAGAAGGCATCGGAGGTCAACCATATAATACTCGGATCGTGCGCCAAGATCCTGAATGGGCAGTGTGTGCATTTTGGAGGGGGGGGGGAACCCTATGTGTCCGCCATGCGGGGAAAATCCCCTTTTGGCTTATATTGAGTGCAGGCGTATGGTCAAACTCACGTACCAGGAAACGCGCCTCTTCCGAACTTCTGCGCTCTTGTCAAGCTGATGCTTCATGGAACAGCTGGAGTGGCAAAGAACAGCCGGAGCACGCGTTCTGCTTGTGAGTTGATATTCTTTGCCTGTCTTGCAGATTGGTCTCAGCAAGGTAGCGTGAGAGGCAGGCACTTCAACAGACAGCACTGTCTTCCGGATGCTCATGTTTTCAGTACGTTGACCACGGCAGGCGTGGGAATGGAAAACGGACAAACAACAAAAAACCCGGACCCGTCTTGGCTGCAGGAGAAAAAGGAAATACGGAATCATGAGCACAGGTGTTCTTCCCTGGTAAATGGAATGGAACCAATCTAAACCAGTGCCATCTATTTCTAAACAAACTAGCCATACTGTTTGTAGACGAAATCCTGCACCACGTTGAAACCCCATGGGAAACCATTGTTTGTTGGTATTTACAGGGGAATCATCATTCCAGGGTTTCTTCGGTGGTGCAGGATTTCGTCCATCCACAGTATGATCATCTCAACGAGGTACGCCCCCACCAACACCTTTCGGATTGATGAGTTTGTAACCCGACTTCCCAGCTAGGTTGATGAGGGCGCGACGGGCGACACCGTGTCGTGATCATCTTGAGGCCTGCAGCAAAGCCCCTGCCATATTGCAAGTAAACCAATCACGCTCGACCACAAACCATTCTAAATGGCGGTAAATTAGGGGGTCATTTCGGCAGGACATGCTGTTTATGGGGGCACACTTGTACCCACTACTTGCAAAATTTAGGGCATCCGAAACAACTGGTAAACACCAAGGCTCAGGAGTTTCAGGGCAGCAAAGGCCACATTTGCCAAATCAGATCGTTGTTGTGTTTTTGTCACGAGACCAACCTAGAAATGAAACATGGAAAAAACCATGCCCGAGTCAACCAGGCTATTTTTAGACGTGAGCCTCAGCCACCTGAGTTTAGGGTCTCTTTCCTCAAACAAATCTTCAGGAGCAAAAGCTCTCTACCCTCTCTTGAGTGGATTCGCCCGGAAAAGTGTGACCTTGCCGAGTGCACAAGCTAGCAATGCCTGGAATATGTCTTTCAAACCACGGGGATGGGATGCATCAATTCCATCGCAGTCTTGTGCTGATCTAGCGAATTTCAGTTCTCGTGTGACCCGTGAAACGTGGGCTAGCATGCCCGTTCCTTGCTGGTCAAAACGGCCCCTGTTTTGTTTGGATCAATAGGATGCTCCTCACGCAGCGGTGATGGTGATGTCCAACAAACGATGGTGCCTTTGGTTATATAATTTCACTTTGACATACCAAAGTAGGAAACCTACTTTGAGATGGGTCATACAACTTTCTAGCAAGGTAGACTGGGTCCCAAATCGGGGGTGAAGCCGTCGGGCTGGTTATTACTCAAAGGCATCCCCTGGACCACCGGGTGGCCTGGACCAATCCCAAACCTGGACCTTTAATGGAGCCCAGACAAAAAAATACAAATCAACAAGTGGCACTGGCTGAAAACCGGGGGCCTTTGAAAGTCACCTAACACGTGCGAGCAACCCTGAAGCTACTGCTAAACCAGCTGCGCACCTCGCACACAGCCCCAAGACAAACCCAGACCCACCCAAAGTCAACCCAAACCCCAACAGCCTGGATGCCAGCCCTTCGCGGATCCCAAATAAACCCAAAGCAACCCGAGATTCCGGCCTTGGAACCTCAGGAAGCCTAAAACTCACAAGCCACCCACCTGGAGTCTCCGTGACCCTTTAAACATGGGGTCATGACCCCTTGATTTTGGGTGACCCCATTATTTTGGGTCATTATGTTGGGTCATGACCCCATGATTTTGGGTCATGACCCCATTTTTAAGGGGTCATGGAGACTCCAACTAGAGCAACTCTCAACTGTCACAACATCCGATCCCATGGGCAGCCCCAGGTCCAAGTGAGGCCGGTGCTGGATGCATCTGGATGCGAGCAACCGACCGACCGACCGACCAACCGACCAACCGACCGGCCAACCGACCAGCCCACCAACCAGCGGATCAGCCCTGCAGCAAAAACAACTCATCCCAAAACAACAAGCACGCGATTTGGGGCCCAGAAGTCTTGGAAGGACTACACTGCCCCCTACTAACCTGGACTCACACGGCTTGACTCTCAGCGCCGCGCCCCTCGAGACGGCAGAGTCGGCAACCTCAGCCGACATTCGTGAAATTCGCACCCAAGAGTTGGTGGGGCGGTCTCCACGCTTCAAAAATGGGATCAGAAGTTGGCACAGTTCCCTTTCCACTAAGCTTTTCTGGGGACTGAAATCCAAATGTGAGGATCGCCCTGGCTTCTCCGTTCTTTTCAGGACTGCCAGAAAACCGGCTGCACCAGGGGACAGCTACTGGTGCCACCCCAAAGGGTCTTCAGAAACACACCCAGGTGCGATGCGTCAAAACCCGTTTGGGTCACTTTGAAGCATTGGGGAGCCATTGTCTCTACTTGGACCATGTCTCAGGTAACATAGGCAACAACTTAGAATTATACATATATATATATATACAGGACACTATACTGCTTACGAGGCCAACACCTGGGAACTGTCACTTTTGAAGGAGTCAACATGAAACTGAAAGCTGACGGAGAAGACCGGGTCTCATCTTGACTGCTACGCACGCACACACCTGTATATACTTGTAATGCCAGGCGGAGCATGAGATTCCTGTCTAACTTTGGCTGGACATCCATGGGGGCGTCAACGGGCTGAGACCCGAAAACACGGGTCCCCGGCCCCAAGAAACATTCGCAGATTTAACCTTAGAGGGACTTTTTAGGGGTCACTGGATTTCCTGTTCAAAGGCTGCAACTATTTGATGCTGGCTGTCCTCAGATCCCCCGCTAAAAGCTTAACTTTTAGTGCCCCGCATGATGGTTCAATGGAAACCCAACCACCAAACCAACTGAACACCTAAAAAGTCAAGGAACCAGAGGGCTGGGAACCGCCAAGGATAATGGGAACATTGAGTTGTGCCATGCCTCTCAATGATGGCCTGAGGTAGATAGGGGGCTTTCTTCTCCTCGCACAGCATGTCAGTGGCTCTTTGGATTTCAAAGCTTGGCCTGTTCCACCAACCAAACGCAAGGCTGCCCGCAAAGACACAACTCACTTCCGATCGAGTGGATTGGCCAAGAACAAGTCAAGAAGCTTGTTGTTTGCCACTAAAAATGGCAACCAAACTGAGAAGGCGTAAAGTCATGTGCTCAAGTTCAGCGACTCGACCTTGCGCACACATCGATTCCGAACCCTTGGCGTTGGCTCCCATTCAGCTGGGTCTGCAATGACTCGCGCGGTGGCTCTATAGATGTTTTTCTTGTCAGGCAACCAGGAAAAAACATCATCTGAACTCCAAATCATTGCCACGATTGGGCGACATGATCGATTATGTTTTTGCATAAAACATGATCGTTCAAGCCATCAGACTCAGACAAGATCCAACCTACCGATTCAATTTGGCATAAAAGGTAATCGTTCACAAACCATCTTTCAAGATATGACCTGTGAGAACCCCTTAACCCTGGGCCCGAAAGGTGATCTGTTGAACAACTTCTTCCTTTCGGGACCCTTGAACAAACGATTCAGCGCCCGGATGGCGAAGCCGAGGCGTAGGCTTGCTTTCACCAGTCGCGCGGATTCCAAGCTGTTCAGCATTTCCTCAGCCAATGAGTCTTTTGTTGACGTTGGTACCCCTTTTTTTGCCGGGTTCAAAGGGAAGCCACCATTTTGAGGGGCCCGATTCGGTAAAAATAGACGAGCCACCCATCTGTGGAATAGTCAAGTTGTCGCGGCTCCCTTCGTAGGAACCCTCAAAATATGGCGAGAGCATCCCCAATTCAAACGCACGGCCCATGTGTGGCTGGCTAAAATCCCTTCAAAAGGGATGATGACCATCCCGACCCCAAGTGAAAGGGTGGTTCGACCGTGGCACATCTCACCAGCCGCACTAAAGTGGGGAGTAGCCCCTTGAAACATGTTCAAACCACCATGGTTTCCAACCTCGCCAAACCCTGGCAACAAGTGGACACTTTATGGACCCCGGAATTCAATACAAAAAGGAGTCTTCCCAGCTTTAAGCAGAAAACATTTGAGGGGCCAACCCCTTGTTGAAATGTCCAGGTCCTCCAGTATATAGAAAGATTAGAATAGCCCTTTTTCTGTAGCCTATGTTAGTAGGGGAACCCTCCCCTAAAAAAGGGTAAAAGGGCACTACTGGGAGACCTAGATGTGCTTAATTCACCTTTGCGTTTCTTTTTTGAGGGGCCCGAAGCCTGCAACCATTGCCCAACCCGGCTCAGGGGTCTAACAAATTTCCCGGAAGGTCGAAAAAATATTGCTGTCTTTTTGTTAGGGGAACCCCTTTTGAACCGGAAACCAAAGCACGCCCATGTGTACAATGAAAGTCCAGAAGGGCTTTACCGGTTGGGGGCCAACCCAATACACCCCTGAACTTGACCCCTGAACCCACTTAACCTCTAAACCCCTCAAGAGGGCTTCCACACTGTTGGGGGAGTCCCTCTGTACTCGGGGAGCCCCGTCTAAGAAGCACACCCTGCTTTTGCTCTCTCCCCCAAGCATCATGGCACCCTCCATTGAAGGGGCTGGGACCTCCATAAGCTTTTGGACCTCAAAAAAGGCATTTTCGAGGGTCCAAGACTGGCCTGAATATTTTACCCCCAAAACTGGTAGGCTAAAGGGAAACAACCCCATGTTCCGACTTTGATAACCCCCAGAAACTGTCAAAATGATGATCCCTGCAAGATGCTTTCTGACCACTTGCCAGCTGAGCCCAGCGCGCTGTCGCCCTCGCCATCCGCCTGCTCCCGCATGTCCGCAATCTCGTCCGAGCCATGGACGTCCTCGTTAGTCGGCAAGGATAGGCTCGGACAACTTTCTGAGGTTTTGCTTTCCCAACTAACACCGAGCCCGCAAAGGATATCAAGAAAAGACACACCCAATCAGCTGGCCCTTGTTTGTTGGGTTGGATTGGCAGTTTGGAGCTTAGGGGTGGTTCTCCTGGTCGCCTGACCCAAATGGATTCCACTGACAAACGACTGGAAGCAAACCTCCATGTTCCAACTCACCTGAAAGAACACCTGTGATACCTTGTCGGGTGTACCCCCAACCAAAACATCTTTGATTTTGGGGGTCTGGTGGGAAGTCTGGAAGGGTCTGCCTAAATGATACGCCGATATGGCTGTGGGTCAAAACCAATGGTACCATTTTGGGGCAGGTGCACCACCCATTTTAGTATATTTTCGTGGCGATTGGGATGTTCACTGGGGGTACGATTTGGCTGTTGACCCATGGCCCTATGCCCAACACAAAACTTGTCCGAAACTTCCTCCAAGCCCCCAAGCCGATAACCGGGCTTTTGACCCATGGCCATATGCCCAACACATGTCGAGTTTTCAGCTCCAAGCCTCCAAGTGAACATTCAGACCACTTTTGGAGGGAACACCCCCCCTAATAATGGGACGGGTTTATTAATCCTGGGTCAACATTCCCCCCTGCAAAGCTCACCGAGGTGGAAGGATAGCACAGGACCTACCATCAATCACAACGGCCAGTAATTCTGGGCGAATTGCTACGAAACAAGTTCTCGGCGCCTTCACGGAGCTCGTTTTTCTCCCGGAGTGAGCCCGGATGGCGGAACCATTTTGACTGGAACCTTTAGCCGCGCGCCTGTGTGACGTTGGAGCCTTTGTGAAAGTTCGAAAGGCCTCGGCTCGCTTCAAAGCCTTGCTTTCGAATAGCGGAAGGCGCAAGGGCGAACTCAACAAGCAGCTCATTCACTTGCTCAAGCCCACCTTTTGTTTTTTGACGCCTACCTCTAGTCTGCCCCAAGGATTATTCGCGGTCCACCAATCATCCATTGTGTCAGCTTCTATGATTGTGGGCAGGAAAGGCATCAGTTTTCGTTCTCCCAAAAACACATGGCTGCATTCAAGTCCAAGTCCAAGTCCAAATATCCGGCTGCACAGGGCCATTGAATTGTCCGGATGGGTATTCCAATCTCACGAATCCCACCTGACTCTGCCAGCCTGAGCTCACGACTTTCCACAAATCTCGAAGCGCAAGCGACGGGACCCAAATTTCTGATACTCGAGGAAACTGCTCGAACAAAACCCATTTGCCTAGGAGCTGGAAATTCTCAGGGCCCAGGAGGGAAAGACCCTGAAATGGGATCACTGCCCATCCGAATCGCCAAACGTGGCCTGTTGCCTGTGGCCTTCCAAAGGGCTAAAGAGAGACAAAAGCCCTGAAAGGCCGGGGTCAAGTTGTTGTTTGTGGGCCAACATTTGCGGGGTCAAGCTGTTGTTTGTTGTTGTTTGCGGGGTCAAGTTGTCGTTTGTGGGCCAACACTTTGAAAAGACTTCTCGGAATCCGTATCACTTGCCCAGAGGGAAGATGCAGGGGGTTCGCCAACAGCGTCGACAACGGAGCAAAGGAAGACTGCAACCTTCCCAACCAACTGGGTATGTTTGCACTGCGTTCGTTCGGCAGCCCCAAACACCTGCGCCAAAAGCAGTTGTGACCTGCCCGCCATTATTAGGCCGCTTCCTTTAGACCTATCAGTGGCCGCTTGTTGGTCGGTGATCTTAAAGGAGTTTACGTCCGTCTTAAAGAAAATATTTCTTTAAAAAAAAGGAAACCCCAATAGGAAAACAGGATACAAGGAAAACAAACACAACAGGAACAAACAAGGAAAACAAGAACAAAAAGACAAGTAACTTCAATCTATTTATTGGACACCACAAAATCAAGACAAGGAAAAAGACTACAACTAACTTCAAGTAAGGATCTGGGATTCCCTTTGGCCTCAGATGGCTGTGCCGCCGGCCAAGCACGGGGGTTGCATCCAAGTCTTCCACCTCAATGAGACGGACACGGTGGAAGGACTGCGACCGGTGAGAAACCTAAACCCCTGTCGTCGGTTTTTGATTCTTATTTGTTTTTGCGGGTGACACCAATGAAATAAGGAGGACACAGTGCACATTCCTGAATTCAAGGGCAAACAAATGGCAGTGTCGCACTGGCCCCATGGTTGTGTAATCATGTTCAAAGTCAAACGACTGAAACAGTGCACCCTGAATTGAAGCTGGCAAAATTTGGTTGCAGGTGTCGGGCAAGCCCAAGGGACTGTCACTAGCCCTCAAAACCTCAGGACTGTCCAAATTCCGCAGCCCTCAGGTGGTGGGGAACCTTTCGAGCAGTTGGTTGCAGCAAAACAATTGGTTGATGACCTTTCGTAGGTTTTTGTATGGAATTGCGGCAGTGCTTCCAAACGGGCGTCCACGGCGTCACACCAAAGCCGTGCTTCGCTCGTATGGGGCCACTTGCAAGAGCTCCCGGTTCAGCAAAAGCTGAGCGACCGGTAACTAGCAATTGGTCTGAGTGAAGCCAAGGGGACCCCATGCACATGAGCTTGACATGTGTTCGGATTTGAGAAATGAACAAAGCAACAGCCAACGGCTGGCTTCCTTGATGTGTCCATACCCCATCTTGACTCCCCACTAGCCACACATGACTTCAAGTAATGGTTCAAATGAGTTGTGCCCCGCCCCCTTGTGTGGTTAGAGCAAAGAGCATTCGGGTTCCTTCCCTTTCATCCCTGGTGCGGAGAGGCTCTGAGTCAGAAATGGGTCTCCCAAAAGATGGTTGCCCTGGTAAATGGAAAGGACTACAACCAGCGTCCATATTCTGGTGGTTGAACATGTTGACCCTCCCCAAGTGGGGCATAATCAAAACCTGGTATTCAAATTGTCTAGCCAAAGCCATGTAAAGAATTAAACAAGGCGGCTGCACCTTAATTCTGGCTGGAATTATCCCTTCCTAACCTTCAGTTTTTGTGTTGGTTCCCCTGTTTTGGGGGGGGGGTTTTGAAGGGCGCCCCTTTGGTTTGGGGGGGGGGGGCAGGATGGTGGGTTTCCTTCTGATTTCGATTTACAACCCAGCAAACACGGGATACCAACTCCAAACAAAACGAGACACCCTAGTCTACCAGTAGTTTTGACCGAACCTGTGAGACGCAAATGCGAAAAAACAAATCTGGCAAACCCACGTTTCTTCTCTTTGAGGGAACCCTAAACAAAGGGGCCCATACCCAAAACGTGTGCCTGGACCCTCAAACTACCCATAAAACAACGAACCTTCACCCCAGATTTGTTTGGCAATCACCCATTTTTCCGTTGGAATTTGGACATGGGTCAAAATCCAGATCGTACCCCTAGTGAACATCCCAATCCAACCACTAACATTGGTTCTAAAATGGGTGGTGAATTCACCTACCCCAAAAGGTGCACCTACCAACCAAAATGGGATCCCTCCGCCATATGAGGGGAAGCCAAAAGTTAAAGTCAGATCCAAGCCAATAGCAGTAGAGCTTCTTCGCTCATCAGATAGGTCAAGCTGGGTCCAGGTGGTGTTCGTGCCAGTTCGTTCCGAGGCCGCGGCGTCGCCGCAGGGCATGGCCTGCCAGGCGCGCCGAGCTTCTGTTGGCATCTCCAGCATCGCCGCCATGGCCGGCCTCAAGAAACAGAACGGGGAACTTAAAATCGGGGAACCCACCATCATCATACTGTGGGTGGACAAAATCCTGCACCACTTTGAAACTATGGGAAACCAATAGTGTGTTGCTATTTATAGGGAAATCATCCTTCCAGGGTGTCTTAGGTGGTGCAGGGGATTGGGGCTTAGCGGTGACGAGCACGGGCTCGGTCTGGTCAGATCCAGGCGGTTCCTGCCATTTACAAAATCCTGGTCACTGACTCTGAGACAAAAAGGCCGGAAGCATGGCTGACTGGGTGTGTCTTAAAATGGAGCCTCCTTTTGGTGTTCCTTTAACAAAACAACCAAAACAAGGGGTACCAATGCTAAAAAAAGACAGACCCAAACAGACTTTGCCTGGATTTCCAGGCCCCAAACTATTACATTCTTTCTGGCAGCTGCAAACAACTAAAACCAAAACCTGCGGGGAATGGATGAGCTCTTTATGACGAGCTGTGTGGGTGAAGCTGTGTTCCAGCGCCTTCAGCCTGTGCACCAGATCAACAGCGCGGATCCCACCTTCTAGGGTGAGGTCCAGCGTCCCGACCGTAGTGATCTCTTTGAGATTTCGCACTATCTTTCCAGATGGGTGGCTCGGCATGATCTGGTTCATCGTCTTCTGGACTCATTTTCCCTTCCCGGTAATTACCGGTTCAGCCTCTCTGTGAACATTTGATTTGGACCAGCATGAAGCGGAGTCTGCTATATAAATATCTTGATCATTTGTCGGCGGGTTGTCTTTCAAAGAGGACCCCTATGGGCGCAGATTCAGACACCCTTGTAATTAACATTGACAAGCGCCGCGAGCGCGGGGTTCCGGAAACGCGGTGGAAGCCGGAACACCGTGGCTTACGGCTTCCGCGCTCGTGAAAAGCATATGGTCTCTAAGCTACATGTTTGAAACACCCCGAGCCAACATGATACATCCCTAGGGTTTCTTGCCCCCAATAAAGAACGGCAAGGACCCAATTTACATGCTGACAATCCTTACGTCAACGATAATGGTCACATGAAGCCAACCATTGTTTTAATGGTTGTTTGAACCTCAGGGTGTTGTTTGATGATTGAACATGACACTCAAAACATATCATGGTGTTTTGCCCAAACCTCAATTGGGATTGTTTGTTTGTTGGGGGGACCCTTTGGTATCACATGAAGGTGTGTGTGTGTGTGTCCACGCTTATTTGTTTGTGCCAAAGGTCCGGGGGCTGGCAGCGTTCCCCTACTTGATGGTTGGCCACAAGTGAAGTTAACGAGAAATAGTGCAAAATACATTGGGCTGCAAACAGCACATATCCAAGGCCATTTTAAGATGGACGTGTGTGTGTGTGTGTTTGCTTGCTTGCTTGCTTGCTTGCTTGCTTGCTTGCTTGCTTGCTTGCTTGCGTGCTTGCTTGCTTGCTTGCTTGCTTGCTTGCTTGCTTGTGTTGTTCTGTTTGCTTGCTTGCTTGCTTGCTTGTTTGTTTGGTTGCACCAGCCATTCTTGAGTCGGGTTCCCAAATTATATGTTTGCGCTGGATTCCTAAAATCATACTACTACGGGGGGGTGCCGCTCCAAATTTGATGGAACCGCACTAAAAGGGGACCCCCCCCGCCTATTATAGAATCAACCAGGGGTTCTGCTTCATCCGTGGTTCCACCCCAAACCACTCCCATGGAAATTTGAGTGTATAATACCCCTATGGCTGTTTAGTTGTCATAAATCAGTGCTTTGAGGTTTCTTGTTCAGCCTACTGTTAACTTTCCAACTCTTGGTATGGTAGCAAAAACTCGGCTCGTTGCAGCTCCCCACCAAACATGCACAGAACCAACAAACCTAACCGAAAAACCTGCCAACAACAGTAAAGTTCACCCCGGCATAATCAACCCTTTGATCTTGATCGGGGAATGTCACCGTTTTCGGCTTCAGATCACTTTTGGAGGGAAGCCCCACCCATTGCTTCTACTTACGGGATCAACATTATCCACATACCCGTTTTTGTCTGCCCCTGTCCAAACAACAATTGTATTTACCGTAGAAACATGCTTTTGTTTGTCAAACTATGGGTCTGTCATATTTTTTTGGGGACACCCCCCTCCAAAAAAAAGTGGCGTTCCATTTGGTTTCCTTTTGAAACCACACAAACAAGGGTTGCCAACCCAAACAAGGCACATACCCGATACAATTGATCAAAAACACATGTCTTCTGTTTCATGTTACTTTCGTACGGTGTGTTACGACTGGGCCTCAGCTTAGCTCCAAGCCCAATCGGTTCACCGAGGCTGTGGCGTCTGGTAGCCGCTCCACATGTCATAGAGCTCCAGCGGCATGCGTTGAGCCATCGGCAGCTCCTGAGGAAAGCCGTCGGTAACCGGGGAAGTCGAAAATAATGTGGGTTGCCACAAAGAAAACTTTGGGTCACTGGTCAAGCTAGTTAAAATGCGTCATATATGGAATGCCGAAAAACTCGTTAGTTGCCTGTTGGTGTCTTTAAAAAACCCACTCCGAAAGGGTATCCTCCAAAAGAAGCCACGCCCACATGGACCCCAGAAGAAAGCTTAAGGAAAACCGAAGCTTGAGGAACAACCCCTCATAGAAGCCCTGGTCCACCCCTTTTGAACGTTGCGAAGTTGGATGAAAGGTGTCTTGTACCTGCATTCTCCATGCATCACACCACGTTTAAAGGATCTTGAGGACTCGTGTACTGCTTACCTTAATATTGGCGGCGAATTGGCGGGAAAACAAAACAACTTTTCATAGGCAACTGGGGTTCGGAGGTTTCAAATTCATTCCGTGTGTCTCCTTCGGAACGGACGCACCCCTGGGTGCAGATTAAGATGGCAACAAAGAGCGACGTTATGACACGCAGTTGGACCGCCCAAATTGGGCGGATCGAGTCTCTGTATTGGATGTGTCTAGTTGGCAAGCTCTGCGTTTGCCACCAAAATTGTCTTCGCAAAACGGTATAATCACAGAAACCAGCTACAGGAAATTCAACAGGACATTTAATTTGCCGAAAACCAAAAACACAACAATCCCAGAGAATGTCCTGCAGCTGGATTCTTAGATGTGAAGTCAAGCCTCTTGGCTCGCAAATAGAATTTACCCAGGCACACAACCGGCAGTCTGGCAATGGCACAGTACTCCAATCGAATCCCCCAAGCGACGCGGTCCAGTCGACCGGGTGAAGGGGTGTCAATAGCAAAACCCCTGATCAACCTCCAAATATGTTGGTTCCACCAGGATTGTTATATTGTGTTTCATATTTATTTTATTAAAAGCCCATGAAGCCAAGTAGAAGAACCATCTATTGAAATGGGCAATAGGGGTTTTGGGCGCTAGTGATCCGTGGGCCAACCTTCGTCCGCGATAGAGACACTTGCTATACTTGCCCTGACGATCTCCAGGAATTTGTATTGTAGATGAGCTGCCCCTGAAAAAAAAAAACAGAATGGTCGAGGTTACATGCGCCATGGGGAGAAAGAAGGGGCCAACACATGTTGAAATCAGAATTTGGTTTAAGAGCAAACTTCGTGCAAAGTCTAAGTTCACACGCTGAGCAACTGCCTGGATCTGCATTTGGCATGTTTTTTTTGCTGTTCCCACTCCCACCCCCAAACGGATGCTTTTCAGCAAAATGGCCATTCTTGAGGAAACGCACGTTTTTGTTGGAAACGAGCGTTGCTTTTGGGAGCTTGTGCACAAAGGTGTGAAACAACGAGATTCCGGCCAAACCATTAGATCCGCACAACGGGCGCAATTCCCCGCACAAGGACGCAATTTAGCGCAAACGGGCGCCATTTCAAGAAGCGTACTTTTTAGCTGTCCCTCTTCCTCTCCGTATTGTTCTAAGCGATCACCCTTTGAGCAAACGGCATGGTTTTCACGAAAACAAACGGATTTATTTCCGGGAAGACAAAATAAACGTGCAGCTGGAAGATCCAGGTGGAATAAACCAATCATGTCCGCATTGACCCGCGAAGCCAGCACTGCGAACATCTCAAGCTCTTTGGCTCACGGAACATCACGGAACATTTCGAGTGCCTCAAATTCCCAAAAGTTTGATTCCCCTACAAATGATCCGTGCGAAACCTATCAGTTTTGGCCGCCTGGAAGCGTGATCCGTGTGAAACCTCAATTCCTCGTCCCCTCAATTCCCCGTCAATCCCTAGGATCTGGAGTTTTGGCACCTGGACGCTGAAACTACCTTGAAACATGAAACATCCCCCGGCCATGATTAAGGAACACTTGCGGGTTTTCGGCACATGGTGCTTCTGCAGCGGTATGCGACTCTTCGATAAAAAGCTACCCCCGTTCGCTCCCGAAGGCTTGTCTGCTGCTCGAAGAACTGAGGGCCGCGTTGGTTCACCTCGGAGGCTCGCTGCCGGCGCCCGGCAAACCAAAGCTTGAGTGTGTGTGTGTGTGTTGTTTTCAGGGTACCTGGAGTCTCCATGACCCCTTAAAAACGGGGTCATGACCCCAATATTTTGGGTTCCATTTTTAAGGGGTCATGGAGACTCCAGGTACCAGTTTCCCTAAACTGATTGGCTTCTTTTGGGCTGCCCTTTGACTACCAAACTAAAAGGGGTCTACCATTTAGCTGCGTCGTTTTGTTGAGTGTGCCTTTTTTGGGTGGGCTCTAAATGGAAACCAAAGGAAACCCAAAATTCGTTTTGGGGTCCCCCTACTTTGACACACGCACTACCGAACCCCTGGACCTTGCTCCCCAAGCACTAGCCGTCACCCTTTCTAATGGGGGATGGATCTAATTGTTCCATAAGTAGTTGCGGGGCAGGGTCCACTGGAATACCGTTTTGGGGGATCAATCTAATTCATCATCCACAAACAGCGGCAAATTCCACATGAAACCAAAGTACCAAAGTAACATGTTGGTGGTTCCGGATATATGTCATACCAGAGAGTCCTGGCTCTTGCGTGGAGATGAGAGTTCCTCATGTAACTCCTTCCTTTGCAACAAAGTGGCGTCCAAAGCAAAAGCAAATTTCCCCTATTGAAGCCAACACTCATCTGCCCAACAAAACATTCACCAAGTTCGTCTCGCATGAGTCCGAGACTCCGTATCGTCTGATACGAAATAAGAACAAAAACCGGAACCTTCATGCCCAGAGGCTCCAATTCGATTGATGGGCCTCAAACCACCTAGTTGTGAGACCGGGTCCCAACCACCCATTCCCGGGGTGTCTAATGCTTCGGGGCGAGGTCTTCCATAAGCCAAAGCCGATCGGAGCCTTTGGGTGATGGGTGACAACATATAGATTTCCCTTCACTATCTTAAAACATCCAGGAACCCCCGTCCACCCATCCCCTCACCCTCAAATAATCAGTAATGTTGAGCTCGTTTTACCCCAGCTTTGCAACAAGACACACCGGCTCCGTTCAGAGGTCGGCCGAGTCGCCCAGTGTACCGTGACGTCTCTTCCTGCCTGCGTGCCGCGAAAGGCGAAAGACCGCATGGCTCGTCTTCCGCTTGGTCTTGCTTTGGGAGTGCGCGCCAAAGGCCATGGTCATGGAGGTTCTGGATTCCTCATCGAACTAATTAACCCTCAAAAAATCAGAGCTGATGCGTCTCCAAATGAGGCCCCCACCATTGATCTCCTTTTTAAAAGGTCCCACACTGTGACACTGGGTACTTAAAGACCCGCTCATGTCCCTCCTGACAAATGAGTCAACAAACCGAAAACGGCGCCGCTTGTTGCCAGCCCCTCAAACCAAAAAAACAAGATCTGCCAAAGGACCAAATGACCCAAACAAACAACAAGCAGCTACAAACACGAAAAGCCGGACCAACGAAAAGAACGAACGAACCAACAAACCAACCACCCAAACAAAACTAAACAACACCAACCAACCACACCACCCAACACAACGAAACTAAAACACACCAATCAGCCAAAAAAAAAAGAACCAAAGCAAACCCAGCAGGTACCGACCAAATCAGAGATAGGCGAACCAACTCAAACCAAGAAGAGCTACCTGGAGTCTCCTTGACCTTTGAAAAATCGGGTCATGACCCCATGATTTTGGATGATGACCCCATTTTTGAGGGGTCATGGAGACTCCAGGTAGGCAGATTTCCGCTAATTTCAAAGAGTATGGGAAGAATATCCAGGGTTTTTGCGTTGGACCCTTTTAAAGGCAGAGGGAACCTTTTCTTTGCCACTAAAATGGTTCCAAAGCCAAACAAGAAGAGCTAACTACCTGCAGGCATCCCTGGCCTCTCCAGTGCTCTGCTCTGCAGCTCGACGGCCCGCCTAGGGCGGCAGGCGGCTTAGGGGAGCGCCCCAAAATCGGACGCCAAACGCGACATCTCGGGAACTCTGCTTCGTATTCAGACCCTGAAGTATACCCTAAACCCTAAAACCCCCAAAACTCCCAAACCCTAAACCCTAGATAAAACCATGTTTTTGGCGGAGATCCCGAGAGGAGTCAGCTCCAGTCCAGAGGTCCAGTCCAGGTTCAGGTCCAGGGCAGGTGTCCAATATATCTTTGTTCGGAGACAATTGCCGGGTACTTGGATATTCGGCCAAGCTGGCAAGTGGCTAGCCATTTAGTTTTGGGCTATAACCCCCTCAGAACGAGGTTAACCTACGTAATTGGCTTGTAGCCTAGGTTGCCAACAACTAGTAACTTGGCCGAACATCCAAGTAGGCGTACTTGGTGGTGCAGTGGCGGTTGGTGATCGCGGCACGCTGGTTGTCCGAGGAGTTGGCGGTCACAGGACAGACAGGAGCTTGGGAACGGGCAAGCCAATCACATGGGCGGTGCCATCTCTTCGTGCTGCGGTTTGTCAAGGAACACGTCCGGGTCCTTTGAACGGAAATGCGCTTAATGGGCGAAGCTAGACAAACAAAGGAGCAGGAACCCCTGGCTCCCCACAAATGGTCCCCCCGAATTGGGTTGTCTCCAAATCAGTACCCGCAAGATGCTCCGCTTTCCCTTTGGAAACGTAGCCTTTAAGCCTTTTCGGGGTATGCAGAGAAATCACTCCGCCTTTTCATCTGATTTCTTCATGTGCCCGTTTTGCACATAGCTTCGGAACCAGAGGGCAACTTGCCAAAACAAAAGCGCTTACTGTGGCCGAGTACTCTTCAAATCAGGGTGGCCGCTTGTTAACCACCCCCTCTTCTTTTAAGGCACGCCTTTTTTAAGGGCTACAAGGGTCTGGTTGGTGAACCATATGCCTTCAATATTGAGGCCGTATGTTCTGTCACTGTCCCTGTCTGCCACTGGCTGAATAGATTGTACAGTACTATGATGTCGGCATGACTTCTAGCTTCTGCACTACTTTAGCCTGTAGTCCAATGCACAATCGTTCTAGGTTGTTTTATTTTTTGTTGCTAGTCAGCCGCTTCGTACCCGTACGTGTTGCATGATGCTTGCACGTGGTCACGTATTCTTGTTTTGATTGGCATCACTGCGCTTTCAGTCTCATGTAATGCCCAACCAACTCCCCAGAAAGAAGGATTTAACTCAATATGGCACCCCCTGGCTGGAAGTATCAGGTACGCCCATTCTGGTACGCCCATTCTGTTCCATTTGCTTAAACCCCCTCGCCAAAAAAAATATATGTGTCCAGTGGTGATAGATTCCCATTATAACCAGCAAGGGAAAATTAAAAAATGTTCTTGAGTAAATGGATGTTCTGGTTGGAATGATCATTGATTCGTTTCTCTTCCGGCATTAGACTTGCTGGCTCAAATTACTTTGCCCCATGGGGCAAACACACATAGAACCAACACCTTCTCATAGGTGTCCTTTTGGGAAAATAGATAGGCACATGGACGGCATCAAACCAATCTGAACCGGTGGAACCCAAAACAATCAAAAGGACACCTACGAAAATTCTGGTAATGAGAGTCCTGGTTGGCCAAAACCTGAGACCCAGAAACAAAACTTTGTGTAAACGGGTGGAACTCAAACTCAGTTTCCCAAAGGATCTGACGAGTTGAAATAAAAGGTTAGCTAACCTTTTGCGCTGACGGTTCACATGAGAAAACCAAACAGTCAAATCAAAAGGTCGATTCGCTTGTGAGCAAAACACGGGTTTGTAATTTTTGGGGACCCTTTTTTGGAAGGGTTTTGACGGGAAACTACAAAAGGAACACCAAAATTTCCATTCTGGGGGTTCCCCCCAAAAAAACCTGTGTCATTGTTATTTTTACTCCTGGGTGTTGTTTTTCTTATCGTGGGTTAGACCCCCCTTACTCTCAAAGGGAACCCACTGTAACCAACTAAAACTTGAAGCAAACGACTGAACAGCGCGCTCTCCGGGACGCCAACTGCGATGTGTCCGCCGATGGCGCCGTCGCAAACGAGACCTGACATGAATCGGACCAAACAACAAACCACACCCCTTGCCTAGGTGTGCATTTTAAGCGTTGTATATACATATGTATATGACGGTTGTCTGAAATTCCTTGTTCCAGAAACCGCCATCTTCGCAGGAAAAAAAATAACTTTCGCGGACCCCATCGCGGAACTTTCGCGGGGCTGTTTTCAGAACATTCATCACAAAAGTAGTACACGAAGTACACTTTCGCAGCCCCAGCCGAAAGTCGCAGCTCTTCAGTGCTTGAATGCGAAAGTAGTACACGAACTAAACTTCCTCAGCCTCGAAAGACAGAGCTTTTCAATACGAAAGTAGTACACAAAGTGAACTTCCGCAGTCCCAGCTCGAAAGTCGCGACCTTTCAGTTCCAAAGTAGCACGCGAAGCGCACTGCCGGTAGATACACACGGTTTATCACTCCAGCTTCCTGTTAGCAAGCCACACAAAAATTTCGCGGAAAAAAAAAATCGCGACCCCCTTCGCAGAACTTTTGCGAAGGTCAACGCTAAGACCAAAAGGTCGTCCCCTTCATAGCTCAATACAACGACCTTTCGGACGACTCTCATATATATATATATATTAATATATATATATATATATATTATACATATGGATTATTTCAGTCTAGACGTCATTTTGGAAAATATTCTGGATGCCCCAACTGTGGACCTCACCAAGTGTTGCACTCTTTCAGAATTCTTTTAACACTCTTTTAGCGCGGGAATCCACAGCCAATGCATCAAAGCAAGCTGTTCGTGACTCTCAACCAGTACCTGCTATTTTGCAACCACACTGACTGTGCAGCCTATGCCCCTCCCACCCTCAAAGACCCCCCAAAGAATCAAGGGGCGGAAAAGGGTTAAGGGGGAACTCTCAGGCATCCCAGGTACATCGACCCTAGGTGCGAACAAAAACTGAGTGTGATACCCTGAAGCTCGTTTGGAGGCATACGACATGAGGCCAAGGTCACAGATGTCACAAGGAGTCATCAAGCCCCTGCAAGAGCCATCTGAAAGGACTGGGTTACAGGATGTGGGCGTGTCTCAAAATAGAAAAACCCTCCAAGCAAATAATGTTTTGCTTCCTGTTGGTTTCCCTTTGATCCAAGCCCAAACAGTGCACCGAGCCTCACAAAACGACAAACCAACAGCCAGTCAAGCGTTCATGAACCCTGAAACCAAAACCAAACTTCCTGCAGATTCTCAGGTCACACTCCTCCAACAGATTCCTCTTCATGATTGAAAACAAACAGTTGCAAAAGTTTAAATTTGTATTTGTGTTGCAACCACCACTAAAACAAAAATAATAAGTAGGTTCAAGAGTTCGAACCCTTGTTCCACTAAATCAAACAAAAATGGGTGTGTCCTTCTTGGAGGGTACCCTTTTTGTTGGTGTTTTAATGGGAAACCACCAGGAAAACACGAACACCATGTTTTTTGCGGCGGAGGTTATTAGAAAACACAACTCAAACGACCATGTCCTTACAGAACTCCTGGTAGCTCCAGAATCGCTCCCTATTTACAAGCAAATGTGGATGCCCACAAACAGGAAAACCAAAATCCATTTTGGGGGCGTCGCCAAAGGCACAACTCAAATGGCCATGGGTCAAAACCCAAATCGTACCCCCAGTGAACATCCCAATCCCTATTAAAAAAAAAAAAAAAACCTAAAATCGGTGGTGCACCTACCCCAACTATGGTACCATTGGTGTTGACCCGCGGTCAAATAGAAGCTCGTTAAAGGTTCGATGGTTTTGGACCGAGTGGTGTCTTTTGGGCCATCGGCGCGGCAGGTTTCTCGGCGCCCGGGCCCACCAGTAGCATGGGCTGCCCGCCCGCGGGCCACGTGCAGAAGGGAGGCACCGACCTGAAGCATCCTACGACAGCAACCCGGAGAGTCGACGCACCCTGGGCAGGGAGGGGAGGGGAGGGAAGGGAAGGGGAGGGGAAGGGAGGGGAGGGGAGGGGAGGGGATTTGGGGGGGAAGGGGAGGGCCCAAAGGCTCATGAAGGGCTTAAGAGCCAACTTGGGCTCCCGCCCCCCTCCCCCCCTCGGCCCCATGATTGTACAGAAGGCCCTTGCTTTTGCCCGGGTCTTTGGAAATCCAATTTCCCCCCCCAAAAAAAATGCCGGTGTCTATGTGAGCCGTTGCCCAAAACCAACTGACTAGTTCTAGGAGGGTTGTAAAGGCTTTGTCTCGAAGACGCGACGGAAACCGCATCCTGATTTCTCGCCCAGTTTACATCCTAGATTTAGAGGCGGAAGAGGAATGTGGGAGTGACTAAAGGTTCCGGACAAGAAGAGATGAGGAAAGGTGTGGTGGGTCTTGGGTTAACTCGCTTCCACACGGCATGAAAGGTCCGAACTCTCGTTGCGGGTCATGTGAATCCCTATCGGGAAGATGGCTTCTACTACCCCGAAACCAAGGCTACCCCAGAGGCTTAATGGGATATACAGCCACTATATAGCCACTATGGAGTATCATGGTTGTCTCAAATCTCCGCTCAGGGGTTGATGGTCGTCCCTTCATATGAGGTTTGGTCAACATATTATGGCGATGTGTCTATGGCTAACTGGGGAGGGACATCGCGGACTTGGAACTCTTTAAACTGGGGTGGGACATCGCGGACTTGGAACTATTTAAACTTCTCCCCCGCCCCCCCCCCCCCAAAAAAAAAAAAAAAAAAGAAAAGATCAGAAAACAAAACAAGCAGGGGGATTCTATGTCATATGAAGCCACTGAAAGCCCCAACCAGTGGAAGAAGCCCATGGGCGAGGTCAGACGCAGACTGGGCACCTAATATCACCCCCGATCAGGCTAGTTGACTACGAAAGTGGGTACCTGGAGTCTCCATAACCCTTAAAAAATGGGGTCAACCGAAAATAATGGGGTCAATGACCCATTTTTAAAGGGTCATGGAGACTCTAGGTACCCTCCTGTCCACGTTGCCATGGAGCCTGACGTTTCGGGGCCCTGCAAGACGGACCCCGCGGACCCTCTGGGCTCCAGGATAGTGGACAGGAGGGAACCAAATAGTCAGACCTGTCGCATATTTCTTTTGTGCTGCACTCATGGCCATAGGACAAAGTAGGAAGACAATGTAGGGAACAAAACAGTTAAGAGTCTACTCCTAATCTCACGAAATTGAGTTTTTAAAGAACCCAAACCCCCCATTCTAACCATTTAGTTGCGGCTTCTCCTCAAGACAGCCTAAAGTTAAGTTTCTCCTTTTGGAAACTCTTTGGTCCAATTCCTCAACCGCAGTGATTCTGAAAACTCATTGGGAAGCAATAGTCTCAGTGCTGGAATCAATCGAATTCATATCAGAAACCAGTCTTACTTCCTGAGTTGATGGGCCAAAAAAAGTTCAAACTTTCTGTTTACCACTAACATGGTCTTCCCAAAAAGTTTAAAGTCCAGGAACTCAGGGAGTGAGCAGTCCAATGGAAACCCTCTTCACAGCCCACCCCTTTCCACCAACACGCGCCGCGAATTCGGGGCGCGCGCTCGCTGTGGGCGCGCTGGGGGTACTGCCCGGTGGTGAGCCCCGTGGTCCTTCGATCCCGTTGCCCCCGTCAGTTCCGCGTGAGTTGTCTCTGGAAGTTCCACGGGTCTTCCGCCCAACACCGGGTCCCTTCCAACACGGTTGAAGTATCGGCCATGGTTTAAGCTCGGTTGCTTTCTGCTCCCCTGCTAAAAGTTTAACTTCTAGTGGTTTAGTGGAAAACCCATTAGTTGGCAAAAAGTTAAAGTCCTAACAGCCAAGCAAAATGCAGCAAAGTAAGGATTTAAGGTCCTTTTGCCAACTCATTGGGAACGGAATGGCCCATCTGGCATAACACGTTGCCTGCACAGCTTGACTTCTTGCTCACGCATCGCGTTTTGGTTGGTAGCGAGCCAGTTTGTTAAGTTGGTTCTTCGCAACGTCGTCGTGTTCCATCAGATCTGGGCCGGGCGAAGCATCAGGTCGCAAAGAAAACAATGCGTTTGCCTGGGCCTTCAGAAGAATGCGTTCCGACTCTGTTCCATAGGTCTACCCTATGAGGCATGATTTCTCCGACCCCTGGAATTGGAGGAATCCTAGGAACACCAGCCATTCAACAGAGGCGGGCATTCAAGAGTAGCCATGTATTCTTGACCCCTGAAGCACACCCAGTGACAAACCGGAGGGCTCTTCTCGCAATGTCAAGTGGTTGCCCCGCTGTTCTTGAAGCCCCACTGTCTGCCCCTAGAAGAACCATGAATCAGGTGTCAGTAACATTAAGCCAAACGCAAAATGGCCCAATGCCTACCGCTAGGAAGGTCAAGAAATGTCCCGTTTGAATCCTGAAGTTTTTGGGTACTCAAGTGGTTTGTAGAGAATCGAGAGGGGTCTTGGAAATGACCCCGGGGATCCCCTTAAAGGACACTAGGGGATTGCCCATAGTGATCTCCTGATTTTCTGGAACCAGCAAGAAAAATAGAACTTTTCAACACATAAACCTTGAAACGAACCCATACAAACCCCAAACCTACAAAAGAAACAACCCGTTACAACCTGAAGGGTACCCACCCTTTTCCTTAGATGTCCCTTTAAACCAACCTGACAATGATGCACGTATGCAAACAACATGCAACCTGGTGAATTAATTCCCGGCGAGTTGCATCCGATTGAACTCGGTGGTGTAGCAGGGATTGGTGTAGAGCCTGGCAGGCTCGGGAGTCTTTCTCTGGGCTTTTGTAACTTCTGTGCCCTTTGGGGTTTCCAAAGGAATCAGGAAATCTTTAAGGGGATACTGGTAAATCAGGTTTCCCTATATCAGGTATATCAGGTTGTCCTAGTGTCCTGAGATGAGGTTGCCTTGTATTCCCTGGGTTTTTTGTTTTCTGGGGAAATCAGGGGATCACCTCTATATCCCCTAGTGTCCTAGAGGATTCCAGGTTCCCGAAACCCTTCTTGATGCCCTACTGTGGGTGGACGAAATCCATTTCGCACCACGTTGAATCCATGAGAAACCACTGTTGATAAATATTTACAGGGGAATCATCATGCCAAGGTTTCTTACGCGGTGCAGGATTCTGTCCATCCACAGTATGATCCATCAACTGTGGGGGTGGGCTTCGAGGAAAGCAAAGGGAAATCACCCATTCTGCGTGACCAGACTTAGATACCCTGCAGAAAGTCAAACTGTTTGTTGGTTGAAAGGCAACATGAAGGAAACCCAAAAAGGCAAGACGTTAAAGAGGCAAGCCCTAAGTCGATCTGGACATGTTTTGAGGTACCTCCTATCTTGACACATGCCCATCTGGTCTTCCATTCGCAGCGACATTTGGTGAAGGATGGCCCAATTCCAGGTAGATGTTGGCCAATGAGGGGATGACTCAAACAAAATGGGTTTGTTTCTGTCATCTACTTTCACTCCATCAAAGCCAAATGGAGCAACAAGATCTGCATCGCGCATGAAACCTTCTTGGCAATGCCATTTCCAAGACTGCTCGTGGCAAGCAGACCATGCCGTGAGGCTCATTCATAGGGGATGCAGGAAAGAAGGGAGGCACGGCTTTGGAGCGCCTGTGGAGATGTCATCTTCCAAGCGCACCATTATTGCGCTATTCGCGCGCGCAAATCGATGGATCATACATTTCGGGAATCACGGGCCCTCATTGCAGTACTTGCAACAGCCAAACAATCACTCCAGCAAGTGAGCTTTCACGAAAACAACGTGCATGCAAAACTAGCGCCAAGAAAATGGTCTGACTGAGTATCAAAGGCTGATCGCATAAGTCCATGACCATTTTGGATCCGCTTGGAAGCTGCGTGCGCATGAATTTGCCACAATCCACTGTTCATTCACCAACGCAATGGTTTATGCCAGGGGTTCATCCAGTGGTTCGTACATTCAGCCTTTGAATGCATTCAACAGGGATCCTTACATTATACACCTGAACATTGCAACTTGTAAACGGTGGTTTCCAACTTTATTTTGGTGTTAAAAAAGCCACATGTTTCAACTGGTTGCAAAATGAATTTCTTTTAAGGAGCCCTGGATTCAATGCAGGACCTTTCGGCTTGAATCTTGGGTAATTTGCCCTACACCGGACACCGGGGTTGGAGTTTTCACAAAGCTCGTTGCTATCACCTCACCCCATACCTCCTGTTGATAGAAAACTTGGATTTCCCATCCCCATGACCACTTTATAAGAGGATTCCTTTTTATAGTATATACAGAATATGGCAACCCCTAAACCAGCTGTTCCGCGCTCACCTGCAACAAAACCTGACAAAACAATTGGATCTCCAAGCAAACAACCTAAAAAGGTGAGCTTGCGGGGGAAAAAACAGGCAGAACCACCCCCCCTCCTCCTCCGCCCCTCTGCCACGCCTCTCCAATAGGTTCACCAGGCAGATCAAGGACTGCTCTTCCCTCGTGAGCCGCCGCCTAGCGCGCGCGAAATGGCGGCGGCCCGGTGATTGGCTTTTCCCCAGTGGATTGGAAGGCCACTCAAAAAGACAAATGGGGAAGTAAAATATGGCAAAATGGTTTGCACCAACCAGAACAAGCGGTCTACTAAAGTCCAAGTCCAGGAACTCGATCGGGAGTGACTAAAGTCCAACCAAACCCAGGTGGCGTTTGTCAGCATCCCTCCATTTGAGTCAAAAATCAAATCCTGGTACAAAAATGGTGAACCCAGAACCATGTAAAGACTTAGAAAGGCGGCCGCAACTATTTCCGGCTGGGACTGCCCCTTACTAACCTTCATCTACCCGGGTTTTGATTGTGGCTCAAATGGACCAAGGTCTGTACACCAGGGGGAAAGTAGATGGCACAATTCCCTGTAAGTAGAAGGGATGTCTACTGTAACTGTTCAGGCATGAGCACCTTTTCGAAGTTTGAGCCACAAGGAAAAAGCAAATGCAAAGATGTCCCTGCCCTTTCCGGGCACCAAACTCGTTCAAAACGACTATACATCGAGGCTCCAAACATGTGTATATATATATATGACACTTTGAATGCGATAACTGGCGTCCGACTCGTGACTACTAGCAAATGAGAGCAACTCTATACACGGTTGTTGGAAGTAGGGTTTAGGGCCACTGTCTGTGATGTCAAGGGAATCCCCCCATTTGTAAAGTAGTAGTGACCCATGGTGGTGTATGGTGGTGTCACCCGAAATCGGGTGATGTGACCCACGTGCATCACTCTCCTTCACTCAAAGGTCAGCTCACCCATCTAGCGGCTACCAGTAGTGATTTCATGTTGGGTAGGTCTTCTGATGGGGACCCTCTTCCTATCGGTTTCCGTTTGGTTTCCCCAGGCAATGCCCAAAAAGGCTGCAACAAGTTGGCACACCCATATAACCCTCACCCACTAAAACTAACGGTCTCGCACATACATAATAAGAGCATGCTTTTCCACAGCTCAAAATCCCCGACTGCTAAATTGGAATTGACAAATACTAAAACTAGCAAATCCCGCCAGGTCCAACCCCAGTCGTATTCGGGGCCCCTTTCCTTAAGGCCAGTTGGGACTGTCCCTTACTAACCTTCAGCTTTGATTGTGGCTCGGGTGAGCTGGTCATCGACCGATTGACAGGGGTTTTGAGCGCGTTTTTGAGCGCGCCCTCTTTGGGTATGCGTGCAAAGGCCCTCAAAATCACGGCTTCCCTTTCTCCACTGCAAACCAACCTGAAAACAGTGAAGGCTCAAATGAGCTCCCCCCAACAGCCCCGGAATTTGGACCAAATAGCCACAAAGCCTTTCGGGATTCCACAAACCAACCTGAAAACGGCTCAGGCGAGCAAAACCACAAAAAAAACCGAAGACCTTTCCCCCCCTTCTGCGGCAACGACCGAGACGACCTCCGGCAACGACCTCCTCCGACCTCCTCCGACCTCCTCCGACCTCCTCCGGCCCGAGGCCCAAGGCCCGAGACCCCGGCATGTGCTGCACATGGCGCAGCAGGCGGCGCCGCACCAGGCGCTTCGAGGTATGGAAGGCCACCGCCTGCGCCAGGCGAGCGAGCGAGCGAGCGAGCGAGCGAGCGAGCGAGCGAGCGAGCAACGTAGACGCAACCAAGCAAGCAACCAGCCAAGGAAGGAAGGAAGGAAGGAAGGAAAGACAGGAAGGAAGAAAGGAAGGAAGGAAGGAAGGAAAGAAAGAAAGAAAGACAGGAAGGAAGGAAGAAAGAAAGAAAGAAAGAAGAAAGAAAGGAAAGAAGGAAGAAACAAACAGTACCGCAAAACAAAGAAACACGGAAGCTGCACATGACAATGATGCACTCCTTAGTGTCAACTTTTGCTGGCCGTGCGCACCAGCTGTACACTGCGAGCCACGGTTATGTAAACGCAAACAAACCTGGCGCCCCAGTTGCATCTGCGCGACATCTGTGGGACCGCAGCCAAGGCTGCCGTTTTGCGAAGCGATCGCCGTCTCTAAGATGGGAAATCCGGGGGATAGACCCTCTAGCATATTAGTGACTGTACGTCCCATTCACCTGCTGGGGGTACTGTCGACCCAGATTGCTATCCCCGCCTGTTCTTAATCGGGGGGGTGAAAGAAAGGAATTTTCGGGAAACTAAACATGTTGACCCCCTGATCGGGACCCGCTGATCAACAACTCGGGTGTTATTAACCAGGTAGTTAACCTTAAAGTGGTTCGGCCAAAAGAACATAAAAAAACTTTATATGGAAAAAAACCTGAGATCGCTATTCTTTGGTATCCTGATTGTAGTCAAACATGTCTCAGATACCAATTGAAGTCACAACGTGGCCAGTCGCCAAGCCCGGGGTCAGAAGGTAACCAAGATGAGTCACTAGGCTTTGAGTTGCATGCGAGCAGCGCCAGATCCTCACTTAGTGACTTCAACGTCTGAGTTCCAATCACTCTAGGATATGGGTATGTCTCAATACCGGAATTCCCTTCTGGGCTGAGTTGAAAGAACAGCAAAGGAATCCACCCCACTCTTGGCCCGACCCTCAAAAGTGGTTGGCGGAAACAATCCCACCATGTGACTTGGCTGGAATTAGGACCCCAGCCAAGAACCACACATTTTTTGCCTGGTGGAAAACAACGGGGACCCCGAAAAAAAAAACAAGAAGGAAAAAAAAGGGGAGCTATAGGGAACTCACGCTCCAACGGGCCACGGGCCACGGGGGGGCCTAGGGTTGCCTCGACTGGATTACTCCCATTCAACCCGCTCGGCACAAGTTATAGAAATATGACTGGAGGGCAACCAAGGCAACCCAACCATTTGTTCGACCATTGTTTGGACACCTAGTCCAGGGAAATGGACGCATTCAAATTTGATTTGCTCATGTTTGCTTCATCTCTTTCCAAAGGAAAGCTTCGCCATCCAAAGTGAAACTGCACTAAGAAATGCAAACCGAGGATAGTTCACAGGTTGAAATGCACCTGATGGTTAGTGGACCGCTGCTGGTTCGTGGGGAACCGTTGCAACAATTCCGAAAGGCCAAAACGTGAAAGGTCAACAAGAATGGCAAATTAAGGTTGGACTTCAATATATACTGAGATTGACTACAAACAACTCGCAGATATGACTTGCACTTATGCTCAAAAAGCAAAATTCCGTACTCTGTGGTGCAATTCACTTTGAGTCAATAGTACAATGATCGAATGCGTCCCAACTCGACCCGAGTCAAACAGCCTGAAGGTTGCTACTGTATTCAATTCAAAGTCGCCAAACAATCATGCCACATGTCAAGAGCGCTCACTCGCAAGATACAAGCAGTAGGTCTTGCGCGGCGTCCACTTGCGCAAATGAATGTCTGGGAGTTCACCGAAGAAAAAATATATACTTTTCAGCCTCCCAAAAGCCCGCCACCTGGTTGGGATAGACCTGACGGGTCTGCGCCGCACCGATTCATCTGCAACGTAGGTATTCCCTTCAAGCCCCACTTTGTCAGCTTGTCACCCCTGTTCAGTGGTAGGTTAAAGGGGGCTGCCACCCCAATTTTTCTGACTTTGAGAACACCTGGAAACAGTCAAGATAATGACCCCTGTATTCCCCAAGTCGTTGTTTTAAGGCCCAAGTTCAGAACCTAGTGAGCGTTTTCTTGAGCGACAAAACCGGTGAGCTCGCAACTGTAGGCAGATTGCCAGCAGCATGGCCCTCTTGTTTAAGTCTTTACTTTTGATGCTTTCGGGTAACATTGGACTGTTGATGATTTGTGGTCCCAACCTCTGCTTGTGATCATCCTTTAGGCGCGCTATGGCGCCTGTTGATCCACTAAGGGAACCAGAAATGGGACCTTCTTCCAGAAAGGCTTCTGCACTCCAAGTGTGCTTAGGCAATGTCTCTTTTTGCTCTCGCCTGGTGCTAAGTTGAAATCGGAAACGCAAGTCGGGCAAACACCCAAAGTATGGCATTGGATGGCTCAGAAAAGACTGGTTGAAAGAGACATGCATGCACTCATTAAGAAGGAACAACAACTTAATGCCCAGAGCCATGGTGTATTTGGAACAAGGGTTGATTCTACTATCTTGTTTGTTTGGTGGGTTTCTAGCAACTCTAATGTCCCAGGTTCCACAGTGTCTTTGGTAAATTCATGAAGAAGAATCAAACTCGCACGAGCCCCTGGTCAGTTTCCCATTAAAACCCATCCAAGCCTTGGTCAACATTCATGTGGGTGTCTCAAAACCAGTGCCCCCAACATGGTGGAGATGTCCCTTTCGTTTCCCTTCAAAACCGCCAAAAGAGGGGGTACCAACTCCAAAAACAACACAATTCGAAGAGCAAAGATGCCTCTGGTCCGAAAGGTCGACCCAGGAGACTGGGTCACCGAAAGATCTCAGACCTCATGTCGTCAGGTTCCCGAGGTTCCGTGGTGGCGGGTGGGGGTACGTTTCTCAAAACTGGGGAGACTGGCACCTTGCGCTCGCAGCTCGAAAGCTCGAACCGAAGCGATCCGCTATGCTCGAGGAGACCGGCCGATGCTTTTGCGCCGAAACATGCAGGTTCAGTCTGGCCATAAACTCGAGATCTTCTTAATGTTGACCCCATATTAACCCCTGTTTATTAATATGGGAGTGTCCCTGGTTTATTGTGAGGATTCATCACATTTGGAGGGGACCACCCCCAAATTAATAAACATGGGTGTATTAATCCAGGGCCAACAATAAAGAGTCGAAGATTGAATATCAAATGCCAACAACTTAGTTGAGCATAATATGCAGACTTGCCGACAGCTAAAATGAGCGCAAGGATGTAAGGCCCCTAAGCAGGATTTTCCCTGTAAACCCGAAAAGTGCAGGCTGAATGATATTCACGGGGCCACCGAGCGATTGAAAGCCATCCTGGGCTCTCATTATTCTTTGTGTACCTTGCCCACATCTCAGCTTATGCTTATGTATGTGTGTGCGCGAAGATAGGAGCCCCTCGATGTAGTTGCTTGCATGTTGGTTCCCTCTGCAATCCTGGGTCAATCTTACCCTCCATTTGCTCTCAAGTCTGCTGGGAAAACAAACCAGGGGAAAAGCAGATATGGGGATTTGCTTCTTCCCGGGCAATATGTAAATGAAGAACTATAAATAAGTATAAAACAAAATTTGTCGCTTCCCTTTAAACCAACCCAAAAAAGGGCTCCATGGCAAAAAAAAACACGCCGGCCTATTCATTTCGGAAAAGTCTCACTTGGCGCATTCCCTCCTCTTCGCCCCCTCGGCTCGGTAGGCTGCGACTGGCAAGACTCGGCCCCTCATATTGGCCTCACAAATCTGGGGGTCGGGTTGGAAGGCTTTCGCTGCTGTGTGCCGAAAAGAGTGGGTTTCACGGATGGTTTTTCTTCGTTGGGGCCCTGGCCAAGCAGTTTGGCAACTTTGCAGGCTTTGCCATGGGTTGATGGGCCCTCTTGTTGTTTGGCAGGCCAGTATTGTGTAGAACAAAGTCTGCCACATGAAAACAACCAAATTGTTTCAAACACAACAAAACAACATAAAAGCAAAACACAAGCAAGCCAAATGAAAACTAACCAAAGGTCTAAAGGGCCCTTGAGGGTCTGCGTTCCCTTTTGCAGTGTCCGAGGTCTGCATTGGAGGGGTCCGAAGAGTAATTGCTTCGGATTATGACTCAACGGCCAAATCACGGGAAACAACCAAGTTATATTTTGCCGGTTTTGAACACATGCTCCCTTCTCAGCACTCCTATTCCAAAGGTCACACCAGGCAATTGGAAACTGAACATGTAGGGTGTGTGCTTTTCAAGGAACACCAGGATGGAATGGAAACCGCATGTTCTTGGTCCTCTGTTGTGTGTATTCATGGACTCCAAAACCAACTTCCGCAGGAGTTGAGGATGCGACAAGCAGCCATTGTGTCGCATGTGCACGTGTGTTCCTAGCCCATGAGACTTTGCAGCAATCTAAGATGAGGGTCAAACAAAATGGGCGCAGTTGCCAGAATAAAGCTACGTAGAGTTGTCACCTGAAAAAAAAAGAAACAAAACAACATCACAATCTTCCAGTCAGTCTATATAGGATGGATGTCGCCAAGCCTCGGTGAACCCTGGCCCCCATCTGCATCGTGGTTTAACGAAGCGGTGATTCGGAATTCGCACCGACGACTGCGCGGATCCCGAGAAAATGTTGTGACTGCATCCAACCTGCCGGGCAAACTGTATCTCATTCGGACTCTCCAACAGGTACATATCAGAAATGTCTTCTTCAGGGACCACCTTCCGGCTATGTTGGGATCATTTGCTATTTGGGGGTTGTCAAACGAGGTTCTGCCGGACTCCCTTGATTCTCCCAACAGCTCCACCTCAAGGCCTCGCGGGGATCCCGAGATCGGGCGGCCAAATTGGTGTACACAATCCAAACCAAACCGAAACTCGGTTGCTTTCTGCGAACCCCTGCTAAAAGTCTTTAACTTTCAGTGGTTTCATGGAAAATCCATTAGTTGACAAATGTTAAAAAAATCCTAACATGTCCCAACCATCCCTTGGCAAAAAAAATGCGCCACGCTGAAAAAACAAAACGTCCCATGTTCG